ATGTAAGCCTAATACATTCAAAATGCTTAGCAATGAGAAGGATCAAGTGGACATAGAAAGAACATCAGGAGTACAGTTCACCCCCCTATAACACGGGTTCCTATAGTTTGGATTCCTATATCACAGCAAAAAAATTGTGACAGTATCTGTACAAACATGGTAAAAAACTCCTATAATTCGGTAAAACGTCATCGGGCAGCCAAACTACTTTTTGCCGTCCAGTGCCACGCTACGAAGAGTTTAGGCGAGTAACTTGAGTTTACTATCGTCTGTACAGTATGTAAATTAGGTACAGTAAGTCTAATACAGCACTAATTTTATACATTTCTTGTGAAAGAAACATTTCTTATTCAATGGCCATAAAAATTATTTATATTAATGATGTCTCCAAAGTTCAACGAAGTTTTCACAGAAAAATAACTTATCAGAAATTGCGGCCGCCGTTTGTGCGCTGCTCTACGACAAAAACAAGCTTAAGCAATGGCGACGTCGAACAGTGCACACTCGGTAAGTAATCCTACAATTTTTTGTTTATAGCATAATTTATACGGATTATTCCCAAAAAAATATACGTGTTTTGGAAATGTTGAGTCGAATTAGTCTAGGAATCGATTAATTTTATGGAAAAAAACCTTTCAAACAGCCGTAGTCCGTAAAGTGCATACATGCCGGGCTGTGATTGGCAAGGACTCGTACAAAATAGATTCATAAAGAACAAAACATATCTACCATGTTATAGGGGGGTCGACTGTATATAAAATTCCACTCAAGGATAACAGGTTTAATAGAGACTGTGCATACATTAGTCTACAAGAAAATCTCTCAAACAACATCTCCCTGTACACAAAACAGATATCGAAAAGAAGAAAAAACCACTACCTTGGCTATATATGCCAGTGAGAATGGAATTACACCAGAACTATAACAGGCTGCCATAATATGACAAACCTATCATATAAAACAACTTAGGAATTTGGAGGTATTGGAGATTTTTAAAGCAGACCGTCAGGGTCTTTTGATCAATTTTTAAGATGACAAACAAATCTCAAGGCATGGTAAGCTATGTATGACCTGTCACTATAACAAACGGAGAATGTGCACATATTTACAAATTCATAAAAAGAAATGTTTGAAATTCGAATACATTGGGGCCAAATAGAACATCACTAACACCAGAAAGAATCTTTTTTCAAAAATCTGCTTGAAGAAGATCCTAGACATGGACTGAAAACATTAATGATAATTATAAAAATAAATAAGACCTACTTGAACCTTTAACTGATATGTGTATAAATACTGTTTTATAATTAATGATAATTTTCAAAAGTAAATGCAAAGTGCAATAAGGTTAGTATGTTTTGTTTATAATTAACACTTGTTTAGTGGATTGTTTTTATTTTTAATATATTTTGAAAATATGAACCAATTAAATTGCAAATACAAATTTATTAAACAAGATTAAGAAGATATTTGGTGAATATTTATTTAAAATTCTACAGCACCTATGGGACTAAGTGTGCTGCATTACTGAAAATTCAGATTACTGGATGCTTTTGTATGCAATCTGAATATTACAGACATTGCTATATGCTTTTGATTTGTTTGAACATACTACAGCACCTAACACAAACAACGTGAGGTAACAAAATGAGTCATTGTTCAAATGACAACTACTGAGTACTGGCTATAAATATAACTACTACAATTTCAGTAACTAAAAACCAGCAAACATTTTCTTCCATCTTAAATAGATATGTTGTCTGATCTTCAAACTACTTCAGAAGGAATATAATTATTCAAAAATGTGACCACACATTGATTGGTGGAGTCATAATCTTGATGTTCTTATGGATACTGAAGATAAGTCATAAAGTAGTGTTATAGGTATATTCTCCATGCTGTGGAATGTCTGCATGCAGTTAGGTCTGCTTTGAGACAAATGGACATTATATATCTACATAGATTCCAGGTATTGAAGTTGTATCCTACTTTGTGCATAATGGAGAATTCTTGTTTGATTGAAATGGACCACAATGTCAGAGTCCTTCATTTATGCCACTAGGGCTGTGGATTCTGTGCTTGTACCTGTAGTGTGGCCATTATTTATATTGGACTGACATTCTTTCAAACATGTGATGATATGTTGACTTCTAGCCCTCATATACTCAAATGATCTATTGTCTCTGAGCAGGACAGAATGTCCTTTAAGCAGAGGATCAGCTGTTGTTTATGGCAATGATGAAAGGGTAATCCAGAAGGCATTTCTAGATAAATTTGTTAATTATTTTCAATGCAGATCTTAGGAGAAGATGCCTTATCAACAACAGAATACAGATGTGTGTTCAGTTTGGGTGTCTTTGCAAAGTTGAAGATATGTGGTGTTGTCAGCTGTGGTATCTCGAAAATGAAGGGCATGACCAGGATGATGTTTGTGAGGAGGAGTACTCGTGATTGTAGCTTGTGTAAGAAATTCTCAGAAGCCTTAGAATATAGTGTTTGTTGTACAAACTCCAATATTCTGTGTGGTATGTGGATATTTTCATGAGAATTATATGCTTTGGATTTGTTGGTCCTGAGTATGACTATCTAAGACCTGAATGAAATCAAAAGGAAAAGACTTAATAAATTCATAATTTCTTTTCATCCAATGGTTGTTTTCATATTTAATAGTTTAAAGACAAGATTCGCCCAAACAGGGACTACCATTTTTAATTCTGTGTTTAAGACAATATAATCCTGGCAACTGACCTTCCTTTTTAGGCTACTAGCTGCCAAAACACTAAAAAGTCCTTTTAAAAAACACAAATTTTCCAATTAAAAAATATAAAATTTTCCTAAAATAGGAATTAGTGACATACGAACGTCTTCTTGAAACCATCTAATCTTCTTGGGGTGTTTCGGCTTTATATCCATGAAGTAGTAAGCTCTGGAAAATGTAGATTTTGGAAAGCCTCCCTCTGGTGACGATATTTTACAATTTTGATTCGTAATTAATTAATTTGATTTGTAATTAATTAATATTCAGTTTCTAAATTTTAATCATAAAACAATTTGATACATTGCTTTCTTCTAGATAAGAAAATAGTATTTGTAACAACTTTTCTATTCACGTACTGTAAATCGCATTTTCAAAAGTTCGGATTTATTATTGAAACAAAGAATACTTTAATCAATTTTTAAAATAGTAAATGCAATGACATTCTGTAGAGTAAACTATACGGTTCATGAAACAATCCAGCTGATCTACAACAGTTGTATATTTCATATTAATTAATAATAATAATACATTAATTGAATTATAATTCATCTTTTTCTAATCTTTGAACTACCTCATATGAAATTAGTTGTATTGATGAATCTATTAACACAATTAGTTAAATTGTTTTTGGTTTTCGAATCTAATCTGAAACTTGGTTTATCCAGGCACAAATCCCAGCACTTTTCTGTTAATTCATGAACTAAATATTGAAACTTGCTTTTCTGCATTTCTTTTTCAATGAAATCCTTCAGTTCTGGCTCTATGTTAATCATTGGTCTTTTGAAACTGGATGCACTCATACTTATAAATTTTTGATAACCATTACTTAGAATTCACACTCTTTACAAGTCCAAGAGAAATAATAAATTCCAAAATGCCATATTATGTTTGGTGGTGGGGTAGGTCTGAAGGTAAGACAGTCTTCCATCCGCAGAGCTCTTTTTGTGTGTTAGCCATCCTTCCATCAGAAGTTCCAAAAGGTATAAAGAAAGCAAAGAGATCACTCCTGCATTGATATCAGATAGGAGTTGGGGAGTCATTTCATATAAATGGTTTTAAAAATATATAAAAATATATAAAAAAATATATAAAAATATATAAGAATATTTAAATATATAAAAATACAAAGCTTTATATATGNAGTCAATAAATATTAATATTTTATCTACATCTAAGCTAGAAGTGAATCCAGATTTAAATTATAATGATTAGTATATAAATTTTTCAAATTTAAACGAGACTATAAGACGTGTTATAGGAATACAAACAAAATATGATTGTTCGTGTTTTATAAATAATTTCAATGAAGTAAAATATGCAAGTTTTATTACAACAATCAGTGACAAAAATTTTAAAGAAGCATTCACACTTTTTTATGGGGTTTAAATAAAAAAATTAAATATTTACTTATAAAATTTAATAAAAACACCGTGCATAATATGGAAAAAGCGCTTCATCTTTCCCTGGAGAAAGTCATCAAGTTTCTTATTCCATTTTATTCTGTTTGTATAGGTCAGAGTGCCACTGCAAATGAACTTTGCAGAAAATATCGTATATAATTTAAAAATGCCAGCGAACCGAGAAAATAAACGATAAATAATTAAATTAAGGTAAAAGTTTATTACGAGAATTGTTTGATCGGAAAATTGGATTGACGTCAAAAGAGAAAATAAGGGTAGGCAGTTATTTGTTTGATGAAATAATCCCATCAATTAATTTGTTTATATCTGCACATATCATATGCAATGTTGACATTATTCTTATATTTAAAATTTACTTACGTAAAATAAGCAGAAAAGTTATACTTTAATAATCCGAAAATCCAATACTTTGCTGATATTTAATCGTTATTTAAAAAAAAAAAAACTAACTAAATCAATTAGTCATAGGAAAAAGCTCATAGTTTTAGATTTAAAATGAAGAAATTCCTCGATTAGAATCAATAAGAGATTATTGAAGGATGATGACACCAGAGAGCACTTCCTAATATTAGCTTTAAAAATTAAATGGTAAAGGTCAACAGTCGGTTACAAAAATCCTTCGTTTATGATTAGAAACGATAAATGAATTTAAACAGAACTAACAGACACAATCGAACGAAGTTAACAGTTCAATAACTAATCAAGAAACTAACTTAATGACGGCAAATTAAAAATGTTACCGAATTATTCTAGCTAAGAGCAGAGAGAGCGAAAATCCCAAAGAGTTGTGTTTTTAAGAAGAGAGACCGTGCGTGTGATACCTTGCCAGCCTGGAGACCTGACAGACTCTGACTTCTTTGGTGAGCAACGAGCGTCGACTTCAAACTATTGGCAATATCATTGATGTTGCTAGGCAAGGTAGCAGATATCCCCGGATGGTCTACCTGGTTAGTGAGTGTGGCGGCCGTTTTCTGTTCCTCTCCGCATTCCGACGATTGTGGCGGTTGCTGCGGTGGTGCAGGTGGAGCAGGAGGCTGGGGACCACGAGTGCTGCTGGGTGATGCACTGGCTGATGTTACGGGAGTGGCTGCACTACCGTTGGTTTGAGTCTGTGCTTTCGGTTGAGCTGCCTGTCGGGTGGCTTCCTTCACCTCCTGAAACTTCTCGATGAACTGCGAATAAACAAACCGAACATTTCATTAAACTCAAGTTTACCTTACAGCTATTTAGATAACATTAAAAACTGTTTTAATCTTCATTAAAAGGAAAATATCATTACAGAACAGAAATAATTTATCATATTCGTACCACATCAAACAGAGAATATAAAATATATCCAGAAGAACAAATTGGAAGAGCATTATTTTATAAACTATCTCTATAAAAAATAAATTTTTATATGATTTATTGCATGAATTAGCAAGAGAACTGCCATTATATCAGTATGAAAGCATAAATTTATTTGTAGAATTTCGTAAACGATCCTTAAACCATAAAAAAAACTTGGAAAAATATTATATTCTAGTATTTTTTGTTGTAATAATAATCCAATGGTAACAAACTGGATGATATATGCTAATTAGACAACTAAAGATTAAAAAANATTGATATCCTGTTTTAAATAGTTTTATTATTTACTTTTCGAATGTTTTTTCTTCTAAAAGATACTGTTTTATGTTACAAACATTAATAGGTCTATTTGTAATAAGTATATTAAAATTTTATGAAATTTTGTACTCTGATTATTTTACTGACGAAAATATTGTGGAACATTGAATATATTTAAAATAAAACTTTTTAACGAGTTTCAACTAGCTTTCAAATGATTAAATTAGGAAAAAAACAACTTCAGAATTATATTTGTTTTAGAAAATTATACAGGCATACCCCACTTTATGGTGCTTCATTTTGTGGCAGTTTGCTAATGCAGTGCTTTTCAATTATATTAGTTTGAGCACTAGCTCCACTCTTAAGGTAATTTTTCAACAGTGAAACTTTTGGCTTTTTATCAATGCAAATGTTGTGGAGATGGCTGGAAGAATTGAAACTAAAATGGAGAATAAAAATGTTGCAGAATTACTTGTATCTTTTGACCAGTCTGACAGATAATAAATTGTTGAAAAGTAAAGAATGTTGCTTTTCAAAACAGAGTCTGTTCCTAACAAAAGTTTGCATCAGTGAAATACTAATGAAAGAATTAGAAGAATATGTTAGCATAATCAAAAAGGAACTGACAGATTTTGAGTAGAGTGATGCAAAGTTTGAAATTTTTGTACTAAATAGAATAGTGTCAATTAGAATCAAATGTTATAAGAAAATACTCAGAGACAAGAAGTGCCAGTACTTGAAGCAAACTTTTTTATTATCGTATTTCAAGAAATATATCAGTCATCACCACAGTTTACTATTAAACAGCCTTCAATAACAGGATAATCCTTGAGCATCTTTATAAAGCTCAAGTTCAAAATTAGAACTGGAATGGATAACTAGTAAGAAAACCAACACTTTACATAATTTTCCAGCACAAAGAGTTTGTATAACAAATGTTTTCAGTTTATTTTATAAACCAAAAACATTTGTTATACAAACTCTTCATGCTGGAAAATTATGTAAGGTGTTGGAGAGCTTTATAAATAGTAAGAAAACCATCTTCGAAATGAATAAGATTTCACCAAAGACTTAGAGTGGTGATAGTAGAATTTCATCATTTATTTACAGTATGCAATTTTTAAATATGCACTTGTCAGTCATCTAAAGCAAAGGATAAAAATATTTTGAGGTAAGCAATACAACACACACTGTAGTATATTTATTAATAAATAATTTTACTTTTTCAGTATTTTTATATATCTATCATTATTGCAAACTTAAATGCTAGTGTAAACATGATTTTAGGCTTTTATATGCACTGGTATGTGAAAAAAGCCTTGCTTTGCCTGAAGTTGGTTTTGAATTTATGATAGTCAGGATATATGCTGTATTAACAGGGCATGCTTTTATGTCAAATTGAATTAAGTATTTTTTTGTTTTTCATTCTTTCCATTCTGCAAGCACGAATAAAGCTTTTTATCTTTATCCATCATAGATTTGCCTGTCCCAGTTGTGAGTCTGAACAGAGGTGCAAGAATTGGAGCCTGAGATATACAAGACAAACTGCCCATGAGAAATTTCTGAGGTTTGCAATTTAAACTAGAGCTCCCAGAGCAGCAGACTGATACTTTCCATTTTGGCCAACCAGCTGTCAATTAAAACATTCTATGTAAAAGCATAAAATAAAAAAAGTCTATTATTTCTCTCCACATCTGCTATGTAAAGTGTAATATACCTTCTGGCATAAAATTAAGAAATGTTTTTAAATGTTTTTTTCTAATAGAAACAATTAAAATTCAAATGACTTTGCAGATAGAAAAATCAATTACTCCAAAACTAATTCAATCATGATAAAGTTTCTGTTTCAAAGCTTATTACCAAAGATTCCCATCATTTATAAGTTTCCAGACATTTTGAACAAAGATTATAAATTGTTTTGCAATTGATTAAATATTATTGGCATACATAATGTAGATTGTTCTAGGACTACACTATTGTGTTATACTTGTAAATTGCACTTCGGATTATCACATATCTTTATCATCATATATTCTCTGCAATAAATTTTATGAAAGTATATATGCTTATATTTATCATATATGATGTTATAATTAGCATGTTCATAACATTAGGTAAATTAATTATAATTACTATCATAAATTTTGTAGATTATTTTTTTTAAAAAAATTTTATTTTGATTTCAACGACAAACATTTATGATCCATAATTTTTATAATAATAGTTAATTCCTATTTTTCCAGTAAATTTATTTTACTTTATTATTTAAAAAAACATGATAAAAAATGACAGTTAAATACTTTAAAAGTAATTCCGAATCAAAGTGAATTTAAAAACTTGACAAATTTATTTTCGCAGATTTTCGGCGTATTTTTTACGTAATAAAAAAGACGTCAAATATGAAATGAATCCAAAAATAATTAACAGTAGAAAAGGTAAGAAATGAAAGAAAATATTATTATAACAATAAGCAATACGGAAGAAAATTCGAAAATAAAATTCGGACGTCTAGCATGTCAAGAATGCAGAATTTTACGGATCGGTATATCATAGGAAAGGCGACGAGTAAAAATATCTGATCAAATACGATTATGCTGATATAAGAGTTTCTATTGGATCTATATAAAATATAAATTCAGTAAATAAATTTAGTTTTGTTTCGAGAAAGTAACTTATATCAAATTCGAACAACATTCTTCTCCTTTATACATAACCGATTAAGTAAATATAAAATAACTTTTATAAATTTTTATAGCAATTTTATCAATAACAGTTTAATAAAGATGGAAAAAATAGTCGAAAAAAAATAAAGATTATTTTCGATATGTTTTTCATCTGTCGGATCACGTTTCCTTCCATTTGCAACCGGTCAGAGAACAACTATCCAACACTTTCCGCAGAACATTAACAAACTATGAAAGTCGTTTCTCTTCGTCATGAGGTAAAACTTATCTAAGGGACCGTAAAGTGCCAAAGGTTATGGAGTGGAAGGAAAGATAGCACGATTTCTTGCTGAACAAACAGAAACAACCCGTCCGAGTTCTTCCTTAGACAAGACTCACAAAAATAAACGCAATATTCTTAAGTCCATCTAGTAGATATTAGATACGATGAGAAGATAAACAATTTTATTTGGAAATTCTTGTTTCAAGTAGAAAGAAAGCAATTTTATAAGAAATGAATAAAAAAATAAAATAAAAAAACCATAACATCCACTGTACATATATTGTAAATGGATATTGTAAAAAGGAACTTACAATTTCTATATCTAAGCAATATATTTCGGATCGATTACCAAACATTTAATGAATTATATTCATTTAAATAACTCACTATTTAATTTCACTTAAATTAGAGAAAATTTGCAAGAATTAATCTTGTTTTTTTATTTGGGATTTAATAAGCTAAATACTGTTTTCTCCTTAAGAAAATGAACTTAAATCACACCAGCAAAAAAAGAAAAAAAAGTCGATCAATCTCTCCTAAGAAAGTTAAGCAAATAGATGATGGATAGATTCTGAATTAACTGTGTTCAATGATGAGATAGCTTTCAGCAATCATCATCCAATTTTTTTTTTTAGACACAATTCGTTTGTTTGAAAATACGTGGAAGTGCTCCGATAGCTGAGAAGTCATATTTTATTCTAGTAATGATAATAAAAAAAAGACTTTTTCAAATTTTTTCAATTTAGATCCAACTAATGCATCGTAATATTAACAATTTTAACGAAAGATAATTCTCCAGATAACAGAACTTACCTTAATTTATTACAATTAGTTTTCAGAAGTTTAAAAACCAAACAACAATCGGCTTAGATCAGGGATCGATAAGACATTTTCGGGGGTCGATCAAAAACGGTCCAATCAGTTATGCATATGACAGTTCAGGAAGTAAATCTGCATACCGTAAGTATCAATAGATCTTTTCTATGAAAATGCTGTTAATACTGGCTTAAGGATTTATTTATTTATTATACTAACAGTAGCGCATTATCCTATGGGCAAAAAGGACAATTGCCTGGAGTATCCACCAACAGAGGGCCCCAAACCAAACTTTTATAAGAAAATATTTCCCCCAAGATTTCCCTCGAAGAAAATATCTGAAGTCAACATAATATATGTGGTCCCCTAATTCAAATTTGTCCGAGCGCACATGAAGCTATAATGCGCCACCGTATATTAATCGTATTAGAAAAAAAGAGCAGGTCGATAAAAGGTGGAGGAATCTTTGTGGGAGTCGATAGTCAAAAAAAAAAAAAAAAAAGTGGAGACTCCTGGCTTAGATAGTATAAAAATAAAGTAATCCAAAACTGGAGCTTAACGATTATCGTGCGTTAAAATTTATAATTATTATAGCCTATCTGTAATTTAGCAATAGTGATCTTTTGAATTTACTCATCAATAACGAACAGAAAGCTAGTTTATTCAGGCGAATATATTACAACCCATTGAACAAGACGTCTTAATATTAGCGAGAAATTTTTATTCCATTTCTTCAATGTAACGAATAAAATGGAAAAATTTGAATTTAAAGTAACGTTTAAAAAAGTAATATTTTATCTTT